TTCAAGTTTTACGATGTATAGTAACGAACGCCCCAAGAATTGTAAACTAGCATTATATGAAGATAAATGTAAACGTACTAAACAAATGGAATTCATATTTATATGTGCATTCCCGAACCGTAATTTATTTTGATTTTTTAAATTTTTTGATTTATTCAGTACTAATAAGGATCTTACAAAGAGGAAATACAGTGTACGAATAGAATAAACCACAGGCCTTAAGATCGCTTAGAAAAAAAATTGAGGTGTTGAAAAAAAAAATAAAGGTATGGAACTCTTTTCGCCTCTTTTCATAGGGTACCAACTTTCGCCAATAAAATTCTTTTAAATCAATTTTACTTTTTACCCATATCTACCCATATCTTTTCATATATAAACAAATTTCATTAGTACCAAATTTCATTCCGTTATTCCTTATACTTCACAAGATATTCTGATATCAATTCCAAAATTGACCTAAATTTTTTTACTCGACATCAGCTTGGGCCTTCGGAGGGCTACACTAATTTTTAAGCGGGAACGACGGGACAAATTTTCCGCGGAGTTTATTCTAAGCTCAATGAATATTTTCTCATTTGCATTCGAGCTTTACATGGACTTTCTCTAATTTGATCATATGATCTTACTTAGTCACAAAGAACATTTTAGCGGTCTAATTGTTTTGAAAATCGAACGGTATATAATGCATTCCGGGAATAAATCGTTCGACCATTGCTTCTTTCACATTCATAATCAACATGGCAGTGTTGTTGTTGATGCAGACGTTTTCAAGTTAATTTTTCGCGAAAGGAATTAATACGGACTTAACCTTACAATTCGGAGTAAGAAATCAACTTTAAAATGTTGAAAGATCTTGCAAATGCTATTCAACTCTTCGCTGCACTTCAAACACTGTCTGTTTACATGTGAATGGCTAGGGGCCCAAGCTAATGTCGAGTAAAAGAAAGTAGGTCATTTTTGAGATTGATTTCAGAATATCTCAAGAAAAATACGGAATTTCGAATTGAGCTTTGGTAGAAATGAAGAATGTTTATCTATGAGTACATTTAAATAGAAAGTAGAATTTTAGAGCATGTGAATAAAAAATATTTTATAAGCGCAATTTGGTACCCGGTGTAAGAGTTCAATACCTTTATTTATTTTTTTTTTTTACATATAATTTTTTTTTCAAGCAATCCAAAAGCCTGTGGAATAAACTTAAACACCGATGTGTATTTCTGCAGTAACTATGTAATAATAATTAACCAGAAAAGTTTTTAGACTAGCTGTCATATTCATTCTTATACCTTATATCTCCTGTAAATCGGTAAATTAATCTATTCAAGATACCAAGTTCCAACTTTTTTTTAAAATCGTCTACGTAGGTTGCAATTTTTTTTTTATAAGAGTTACGAAATTTATTTAGAATCTGTCAGTAATAAATACAATGTATACAACAAAAATTATAAGAATACAAAAAATTATACATCATTTAACCTACCCAAAGTCATCTATCTATTAATTTTTTTTACTAATTTTAATGATGTAGATTAGGTTCAAAATCGCAGTATATCTTTAGTATAGTGCACGTGCCGTGCGTTTTCGTTGCTTCTTGTGTACCTGATTATGTAATGCTACATAATATTACACACCTGTCACTAGATCAGTGGGATTTGTAGTCTGTGTATACACAGTAATCATAATTTCAGACACCCAATTCAACAAACATACACTGTAATTCTGGTCCTTCGACGACTTATACCACCTTTCCATGTGAATTATATATCGAACATGCACAGATGGATCATGCGTGTAAATTAAAATGAATACATCTAGAAATTAATAACAAAAATAAATACATAAACGCATTTTAAGCACTTATCTGCATTTCCACAAAGGAAAAAAATACTGTACGTCAAAGACTTCATGACGCAGATTTGGTCAAGCAACTATCACAATTTGTAAGACTTTATTTAAAATGTTTTATTTCCCCCCAATATTATCATGCTTTATCGCCAAATTAATTCAAATCACTTCATATAGCCGGTATTTGATAAAATATGGGGGGGGGTGTTCTCCTTTTATTTGGGATTACGGTCGTGCTCTGACTTTAATACAAATGACTGTACTAATATCTTTAATTGCACGAATAAAACTTGATAATCTAAAAGAATATTTCACCAGATTTCTTTGAAGAAGGAAAAGTAAACAAATTGATATTTAGACGAGCACCTGCATGTGTATCTGTGACCAAATTATTTTGGGCGCTCGCAATGCTAATTTGGGGCGTTCGTGAAATACGTTTGGGGCGCTCATTATTAATATTTGGGGCACTCATATTTGTACTTGGGCGCCGGTAAAAATGTTTGGGGCGCTCATGCATGGGGCGTTCAGGTTTTGGGGCGATACGACAGTAACCCTTACATTTTAAATTCAAATATAGTTTACTTTTAATAAATTTACAGCATGTTTCCGGAAACGGACCATTTTCTTTTTTATAAGTACAACAGAAAAACTTGGCGAGCACCTGCTGGTTTGGTGACTATACGTTTTACGTAATGGGAATGCAATACAGTGAACTAATTTTAAGAAGTTAAGAGGCTTTAGTGTGATTTTTTATAAAGATTCTTTTTCTAATTTAGTTTTTTGTTGAAAATAAACGTGGGTCTTAATGTACATAAGTACATGTCAAACGACTTTGAACAGACGTTTATTTCTTACACGGACACCTATCTTAAATACATCTAGATATATAGTAATAAACAATAGGATTTGCAAGTATATGAAAAGGCATAATAACTCCTTTATTTAGTTACCAAATGTTCGAATACAAATTGAATAACAGTCACGAATATTTGAATATTGATTTATGGTATTCGTTTCAGTCTATTTATATAATAGTGTTGCATTATGCATGTACTATGCCTAAATACTAGACAGGGTTTGACACATGGTGCACGAGCCGGAGGCGAGTGCACTATGTGTCAAACCCTGCCTACTATTTAGGCATAGTACATGCATAATGCAACACTATTGTTATTATTATGCTGACTGTTATTATTTATGCGGCAATCCATATGATTTTTTCCTGAAAATAATGGTGGTAACACAGCGCACTTGCAAAAACTCATTCAAAATCTTCATGCTAAAATTAGTTGCATGCTTAGTTATTTTGGTTACTAGTATTTTCTCTAAATAAGTCAGGATTTTCTGTCCCAAAGATACTCATCTTTATTTTCTGTTTTGTTAGTAAGACTGATTGTTTACAGACGTGGATTCTCATTGATAATTCTTTTACATCCTTCAATCGAGCGCTATATAAAAAAGCGTTTTAATGACCCCATGATATCAATTCATCTTACGATCTGTATGTAATTAGTTTGTAACTTTGTTGTACACATTTATCTAAGATTCCTTAGAATAAATATAACTGTTTTCAAATAATATTTGTCTATTTTCTCCTTCTTGTGTCAATTGTATAAATTAAGTTTATATATTTAAATTCTCCCAATTAGTGATCGTTTCTGTGGCGTAATCGATAAGGCATCGGACTGGCAACCCCCATGGTTGTGAGTTCGATTCGCGGTGTGTGCATTGAAGAATTTTATTCAGAAAATAAGGCCGTGCACTATTTCGGCATAGTATGCTTACGCTATATAAATCCTTAGACCACTATGCGAGAATAGTAGGGTATGGGTTATATAGAGACAAACTGACAGGAAGCATAATAATAAGTAATATGGTAATCTTGGGCATATTACACTATCACTATATCTTCAAAAAAGGTTATTATCGTTACATACTCATAACCACTAGAAAGTTGTGTACATTGATTATTATTTACATGTTCAAATAATTTTCCTTATTCTTTGCAAATAGGAAGACTGTTCATTTTCTCATGAATTACCATGGATGATCATGAATATCTCCATTGTTACATCATAATACATACTGCACTTGATGTGAAAATATAGTGCAAACTGTTTTTCTTTAAAAATGCCAGTTGAATGGTGTAAATTTGTGGCAACTCATCTGAAAAATAATGTAAATACTGGAAACCATCTTTTATCTGTGTAGGAGAAATTTTTACAAGGTTTGAGAGAACCTCGTCATTGCAAAGATTTCTTGCCGCGAATCGGTTCTTAAAGTCTCTGTGTCTATTAACAACAGATCCCAAAAAAGGCTTGATTGTGAAAATGAATCATCACAAACTAGTTTACCACTGGTAAATTGCCAAATAAAGTCTTCGCGAATTAGAGTTGGTTTACAGTATAAAAAATTTATTAATTTTTTTGAAGATTCATGAGGTTCATGAAGTACAAAGCTTCACACTGGCATATTTATCATGAAGCTCTTGCGCTTTTAAATTTTCAAAAATTAAATTCCTTTATGAAATATTTCTTCATACTAAAATACATTACCGCTATAGGCGCTACAATACCACTTTTGTTTGCCAGCACCTCGTGCCTGTACAGATATAACATATACATGCTTGGTACCTGTTTCCACTGCTTACCACAGGGAGAGGAAAGTAGGAATGCCTTGTCTTTTTTTCAGAAACAATTTTTGTATTATTTTTTCTCCTTTTTATTTTACATTGTAAAATCAATTATTGTTCATATATCAAACACTCAGTATTCAAAGAATTGGAAGCTTTTTAAATGCCATTTCTTTGATGTACTGATGTCTAGAACGTGAGACAGTTCTCCAATTTTGTATTTTTGCTTTAATCACAGGCAGTTTGTGCATCTAATGGTAATGCATTGTAATCACCAAATATCTTATTTATAAAGTTTAGTGATAATGAGCATCCAGAATTGAGAAGAACAGGAGCAATAATGCAATTTTGAATGTTTTGCAATGTACAGTAGTGGCTTGAATTCCAGTAAATTTTAAATGTAGATAATGTATGTGTTATTATTTTCAACCCATCAGGAAAAATGTAAAGTGGAATAAAATGTATTTAAAATTTTATCCAAGTGTTCTACCTGTCTATAATTCTAATGTTATTTTTTTTCCAGAATGATGATAGAGGAGTTGTAAGACTGAGCACGTTTGGGTTTTTAAAGAGCGGAGCTCTACAAGTTAACATCACCCAGTTTAGATATAATGTAAATGGAGTAAATATGACAGATAGTGGGAAGATGGTGGATTCAATGGTAAGATACATTTATACATTTTCCATGAAAATTTTATAATTAACCTTGATTGATTTTTCAACCTGTTTAATTCAGATCTCAGTACATGAGATTCAAATTCATACATAATTTCCATATGTTTTTTTTTTTAAATATCTTATCTCATATTCTTCTAATTTTAGTTTGGATTTACTCTTGATAAAAGTGATAGCAGTGGAATTGCTTCCTATTTGGTAAGAATCTTTAGTTTCTTTTCTTAGACACATGTACAAAATAATTTGTACCATTTTAAGGTACATATGTTTATAGTGATGTCTATTATGAGAGTGTTAATTTAAAGTCAAGAGATTGAATACTGTGGAATCATTTAATTTGTGTGGGTCAATGTTCTTGGGTAAGCAAAATTTTGTTGGTTCATGGGGACTTAATTTCGTGGATAACTCGTATATTCAGACAATTCAATGAATAAATATATTGACAAAATAATTGTTCATGGGGGTGTAATTTCATGGGTAAGATTGACTTATGAAATCCACATACTCTGATCCGCCAAGAACAATGATGATTCCACAGTAACCATTTCACGGCAAAATAACTGAAGGTATTTTGTTTATTGTTCACTTGACATAATAAATTGACAGTCAAAGTTTTATGTCTTTTCTTGATGTAGATTATTTCAATTTTATACATTGATAACAGATACTTTTATAACCTTCTAAATTCTGAGTCAATTCGGCACTTAATTTTAGGGCTCATTGGTATGAAACTAAACATTGTAACGATCATGATATAGTATGAGATGTTGAACGTTTGGATGATGTAATCATGTAAAGAGAAAAACGTGGATCGGGAACACAATCATAGTTCCTGATCACAAGATTTTAACAAATCTTGAAGTAAAACATTTCACATAAATGCTTTCAAATTGTTTATTTTAATAAAGTGTAAAAGGTACATTGCAATGTTTATGCTACATATTTCTTCATTTATTTATTTTGACGGACTCATAAAATTGTGTGCGGACTACTAAAAGTAAAAAAGCACTAGTCCAGCTGGACTAGAGCCTAAAAATGTTATTGTCGAACCCTGTTAATGGTGGTTGAAATATTTGGCCCCATATGCATCATAGTCATGTTATATCTTGCAGAGGTAAAGAGTTAAAAGGGGAATATGTAATGAATTTAGTTTTGTGTATTAGTTTAATTTTGTGATGGCCAAAAGGAGAAATTAAGATGATCATGATGTTAGTAAAAAAAGTTGTAAGTGAAAACAAAAAATCTCAGAACAAGAATAAAATTCATTCATTCCTTGTGTTGACATTGTATAACCAGGCGATGCTAACTTGTTTGTTTATAGGAGGACAATCAAGGGAAGAACTGTATCCTCTCCCTAAACAACCCAGCCAGTATATTCAAAGAGAAAACCATGTCCATCATCTTCTTCAGGATGAAGTTTTCCAACAAACAGTAAGTACAGTAACACAAATCACTCAGTTTTCTTTATTAAACATACAGTACATGTATTCAATTGACCATAAATGTATTGAAAGCATTCAATAGGTTTGTCTGTTTTTCAGAGATTTTTTTTACCCCTTGTTTCTTTAAGAAATATTGATTTATATTTATAGGTATCTGTACAGCATTCAGCTTCGCTAACCAAGGGTTATAATCTGTACAAGATATCTGTTCAGCATTCCTCTTTGCTAGTCAAGGGTTATAATCTGTATTAGATATCTGTTCAGCATCAATCTTCACTAATCAAGGGTTATGATCTGTATTAGATATATGCTCAGCATTCATCTTTGCTAATCAAGGGTTATGATTTGTATTAGATATCTGTTCAGTAAATATGTGTCCTTCCACTAAAGAGGAGAGGAAGAGATTGTAAACCTTGGTTAGTGAAGATGTTCTACATAAGGAATCTATAACTGTGTTTCCATTCTAATGTACTGTACAGGAGAAACTTTTAAAATGGTTTTTAGGTCACCTGAGTAAACTCAGGTGACCTATTGCTATCCGTTTTCGTCCGTCGTCGTGCGTCGTGCGTTGTGCGTCGTGCGTTGTGCGTTAACATTTGAACATTTTCAGCTTCTTCTCTGAAACCACTGAACCAATTTCAACCAAATTTGGCATAAAGCATCTATGGGTGAAGGGGAACAAAAATTGTGAATTTCATGATCCCTGCCCCCCTGGGGCCTGAGGGGTGGGGCCAAAACCACTAAAATTAATGCAATCTTTAAAAATCTTCTTCTTTACTCCTGGACATCAAGCAGTCAAACTGTTTGCATGATTGTAATCAGCAATGAGTCCTCTACCAAAATTGTGAAATTCATGGCCCTGGGGTCAGGGGTTCTAGTGCTAGGGCGGGGCTAAATAATTAGGTAGTGAAAATGCATTATTTCTTTGAAAATCTTCTTCTCTGCTCCTGGGTATTAAATAAATCAACTAAGTACATAGTTATAATGAGCAAGAGTGTCTCTACCAAAATTGTGAATTTTATGGCCCCAGGGTCAGGGGTTCTGGTGTTAGGGCGGGGCTCTATTGATTATATAGTGAAAATACATGAATTCTTTGAAAATCTTCTTCTCTGCCCCTGGGTATCAAATAAACTAACTAAGTACATAGTTATGATGAGCAAGAGTGCCTCTACCAAAATTGTGAATTTTATGGCCCCAGGGTAAGGGGTTCTGGTGTTAGGGCGGGGCTCTATAGATTATATAGTGAAAATACGTGAATTCTCTGAAAATCTTCTTCTCTGCTCCTGGGTATTTAATAAACTAACTAAGTACATAGTTATGATGAGCAAGAATGCCTCTTCCATAATTGTGTATTTTTTGGCCCCAGGGTCAGGGGTTCTGGTGTTAGGGCGGGGCTCTATAGATTATATAGTGAAAATACATGAATTCTCTGAAAATCTTCTTCTCTGATCCTGGGTATTTAATAAACTAACTAAGTGCATAGTTATGATGAGCAAGAATGCCTCTTCCATAATTGTGTATTTTTTTGGCCCCAGGGTCGGGGTTCTAGTGTTAGGGCGGGGCTCTATTGATTATATAGTGAAAATGCATGAATTCTTTGAAAATCTTCAATTCTCCTCCTGGGTATTAAATAAACTTACTAAGTGCATAGTTATGATGAGCAAGAGTGTCTCTACCATAATAATGAATTTTATGGCCCCAGGGTCAGGGGTTAGGGTGGGACTGTATTGATTATATAGTGAAAATATATGAATTCTTTGAAAATCTTCTCCTTTGCTCCTAGGAAATAAATAAACTAACTAAGTACATAGTTATGATGAGCAAGAATGCCTCTTCCATAATTGTGAATTTTATAGCCCCAGGGTCAGGGGTTCTGGTGTTATGGTGGGGCTCTATTGATTATATAGTGAAAATACATTAAATCTTTAAAAATTTTCTTCTCTGCTCCAGGGTATTAAGCAGATGAACTACAAATAAAGTTATGATGAATATAGTTATGATAGACAAGGGCCCATATCTTACAGAATTGTGAATTTCAAGGCCCCAGGGTCAGGGGTACCATAGAGGGGGGGGGGGGGGGGCTGTACTTATATACTGAAAATGAATGAATGGTTTGAAATCTGCTCCTTGGTATTAATTAAATAACAAGGCCAAAGGGTCAGGGGTTCATGTATGGTAGGGGCACTACTGATTATTGCTGAATATTACTGATTAGTTGAAATGCATTTTGTGTTCCCTTACCCTGCGTATGGGTATTAAGTAAACAAATTAAGCAACTGCTAAGTGTATTGTAATGATGATCAATGGTGCCTCTTTCAAAATTGTGAATGCCATAGCATCTGGCTTAAAACATGAATCAAGTTTAATCACTGGAAAGTTGTTGCATAATGCTCAGGTGACCTATAAGGCCCATGGGCCTCTTGTATTATATAATAATGGTTATAATAAACAGTTTTATTATAAAGAGAAAAATTGTTTTTTACATGGCTGTTAAATTTCATAATTTTCTCTCATCACAAAATTCAAGAAGATCAATAAACCCACTACAGTGTGTTCACTCAATTTTTATTTTATGGCAGCTTGAGTTCTGGGCCCAAAGTGGTCATAGGCAGAAAAATCAATGATATTAACATGACCTTTAAGGCCCACGGACCTCTTATTTTGCAAAATTTAAAGATGTCATTATACCTGCACTTTCTAAAGAAAGTTCGGGTATATTGTTGTTACTCATGTCTGTCCGTCCGTCCGTCCGTCCGTCTGTCACACTTTTCTTCCCTGAACTCCTCCTACGTTTTTCACAGTAGCTTAATCATCTTTTGGGAGATGGTTGGTGGGGTCATGTAGATGTGCAGTAAGGTTTTGGAATTTTGATTTTGCCCCGGGGGGTCAAATGGGGGTCGAAAAATGACGTTTTTTATGCAAAAAGCCCCGTCTTCCCTGAACTCCTTCTACATTTTACTCAGGAGCCTAACCAGCTTTTGGGAGATGGTTGGTGGGGTCATGTAGATGTGCAGTAAGCTTTCGGAATTTTGATTTTGCCCCAGGGGGTCAAATGGGGGTCGAAAAATGACGTTTTTTAAGCAAAAAGCTCCGTCTTCCCTGAACTCCTCTTACATTTTATTCAGCAGCCTAATCATCTTTTGGAAGATGGTTGGTGGGGTCATGTAGATGTGCAGTAAGGTTTTGGAATTTTGATTTTGCCCCGGGGGGTCAAATGGGGGTCGAAAAATGATGTTTTTTATGCAAAAAGCCCCGTCTTCCCTGAACTCCTCTTACATTTTACTCAGGAGCCTAATCATCTTTTGGGAGATGGTTGGTGGTGTCATGTAGATGTGCAGTAAGGTTTCGGAATTTTGATTTTGCCCTGGGGGGTCAAATGGATGTCGAAAAATGACTTTTTTAATGCAAAAAGACCCTTCTTCCCTGAACTCCTCTTACATTTTATTCAGCAGCCTAATCATCTTTTGGAAGATGGTTGGTGGGGTCATGTAGATGTGCAGTTAGGTTTCGGAATTTTGATTTTGCCCGGGGGGTCAAATGAGGGTCGAAAAATGACGTTTTTTATAGAAAAAGCCCAGTCTTCCCTAAACTCCTTTTTCGTTTTAAACAGTGGTCTTATCCTCTTTTGGGAGAGTTCACTCTTTTGAAATTTTGTTAAAACATCAAGGTCAAGGGGTAAAAACATAGCATGTTGGGAAACATCTTGTTATGGGTAATGTTCACTTGAAATGTGAAAGTCGAATCTCTTCTCAATGAAAAGGAAATACAACATTAATGAAAACTAAGTTAAACTTCAAGGTCAAGGTCACAGAGTCAAAAAGTCATGATACATTTGGAAAGGTCTTATCACAGGTAATATGAATGCCCTTTCATTTATCTTTCAAAATGATTAATTCAAAGCAATTAATTTGTTTATGAAATTAGGTCAAACTTCAAGGTCATGGGTAATAAAAATCATAGTGTATTTAGAATGGTATTGTCCCATTTAATACTAATACACATGTTTAATATAAAAGTCCTGTCTCTTCTCATTCAAAATATACGACCATGATGACCAATTGCAAGGTTAAATTTATTGTGACAGATGGGCAGATTGATAAACAAATGAGATTTAATGTACCCTACCTTAGCGAAAATGGGGGACAATAAATGTCTTTGCTGTTCTTGAGAAGAAGATTTATGTTGGAAAAAGTCCCCTGCATATTTAAATGTAAATTGGTTGAAATTGGCCCAGTGGTTCTTAAGAAGTTAATGTGAAAAGTTTGCAGACAAACAGATGGACAACAGAAATCAGTACATTTCAGAAAACAGTATGCTTATAAATAGTTAATCAAGGTGCTTTGGGTAGCAAAATTAAGCTAAACTGGTATATTTAAACTGGTATATCTAATTCATCCGCAGAGCTTAGTATATTTTAATATGCACAACCTTTTCAACTCTTATCATAATTATTTTTTAAAATTTATATCACCATGTCTCATTCAAGGGAGAACTAGAGATATGACCAGATGTATATCTGTTGAATATAAAATATGTACATGTATACTGTGTTTTTTTAGTAATTTATTTGTTTGTTGTGACAGCAACTGTTATGGCAGCTTTTGGCAAAGGTTGAAGTTTCTCAAATGTAAGTCAAACTCCAAGGTCAAGGTCAAAGGGTCAAAATTGTTGGTATCAAAGGGAAAGTCTTGTCACAAGGAATACACATGTGAAAAAAGAGAGAAATCCCTAAGACTTCCTCACCTGTTCAAAAGTTATTGCCAAGGTTAAAGTTAAATTGGGTTCAACTCTAAGGTCTAGGTCAAAAATAATTATACCTGTTGAAAGTTCACAATGATTACACATGTTAGAGCATGAAAGTCCTAGCACCACCTGTTCAAAACTTAGGCCAAGTTTAAGGTATTTTTCTTGTAAAAGTGTGTCAAACTCCAAGGTCAAGAGATCAAGAGGTCAAAATTGGTGGTACCCATTAAAAGGTTTTGCCAAAAGAAATTTACCTATGAAATATTGAAGCCATGTGTATAGCCCAATCCACTTAAAACTTATGGGCAAGGTTAAAGTTTCTGTGGACAGACAAACATGCATAAACATAGGAAACAAAATATGTATATACAGTCAAATGAAAAAAATTTCTACTATTATGGAGTCATAAGATCAATTGTCATTTCAGGTACAGGGAGTCAGTGGCTAGGGAGATCAGACACCCCCCCCCCCCCCTGGAATTAGCAGTTATTTAAATAAGACTATGTACTGTAGAGAATAAAAATGACTTTGGACATCCTCCCCCTTAGAAAACAGGGACTCCACCATCATTGTTTTTATTATTATTTTTTATTTGTTTCTCAGGAAATCTTGGGCTGATTTTTTTGACTGAGGTGTGACACCCCCCCCCCCCCCCCCCCCCCCCCCTTTCTGAAAAAAAAATTCTGGATCTGCGCCTGTTTATACTGAATGTCCGCAACGGGAGATAACTTGACAATGTGAAATTTGTCGACTGTGGCATGCGATGATCTTTGACCCTTTTTGAACTTCAACCTAACCATTTGCATTTATTTATTTTTATGCAATCTATACTAAATCTTGTACTTACCGAATGTCATAGGTCGTGACAACGAATTCATGAAATATAATCCATATAATCCAATTAAAACACAAATGATTTTAACTGACCACACTGCATCGTCAGCATACATGTGCTAAATAATCTCATTCGACAAACCTTTACTGATTCCGTTACCAGTATGAATCGTCCGAGGTGTGCCGAGAGGTGATATCTATAAATATGATAATGGGTGACGCAAACCCAATGTGAATGTAGAAAATAAGATGTTCACACGTAAAACTGTTTAGTACAAGAACAAATTTCAAACTATCATAATAAACTATGTTTTAACATAACTTTGCCATCTAGGTCTATTTTTAAAAAATGTGAGAGTGAGAGAGAGTGTGTGTGTGTGTGGGAGGGGGGGGGGAGAGAGAGAGAGAGATAGGCATTGACAAATTTTCAATGGGTTTTTTTCCCGACCAAGTACTAAAATCAGTTTGCACATTTTGATAAATTCATCAAAACGCTTTGTACTAAAATAATATGTCGTTGAGAAAGTAAATTTAAAAAGTTCCAAATTATGGGCAACATATTTATCTGAATCTAATTAAGTAATTTACTTCAATCATTAATTAAATTCTGTTATTTCAGACTGGTAATGAATTAAGTATTCAAAATACATATGTGAGGCTCATAGATCATATGGTCACCTGAAAATTTTATGTTCAATTTGACGAATACATGTACGGTGATAATTATAGAATTATTTTGACTTCTTCCTTGGAAAGTCCAATATGAAGGAGTGTGTATTTAGAGGCAAACACCATAGTGCGGGTATTACTGTCTCATGACAGCATCTAGTTCATAGAATTATAATTGTTTCAGTTGTAGTAATTGCCAACTTAATATAGATTTTTTAAATACCGGGTATACCCCAGAAATATATTTCATTTGAGTAACAGGTTTTTGAATTGGTTCATAAATGTTCATAGATACATGTAGTACTCTTTATTTTTTCAGGATGGAAATTCAGAAGTATGGTAAAGATATTAGAATGCTGGACATCTCAGCAAAGGCTCGTATGAAAATTTCTGGTAAGCCTTATAATCCTTTTTTAGCTGAAAGCTAAGACTTAATTTTAATGTCTAAGTGGTGAATCTGTAAGGCTTAGAATAAGGTTATAAGTTCAATAGAGTGTTTTTTTCTAATTTTCTTCACCTTATTTAGACCTTCCTTAAAAAAATACAGGTGTCCTATAGTTTGGCCAGTTTTGTCCATCCTTTGATACTTATACTTCTATAAATAGCAAAAAAGAAATACCATATGTTTTACAATGATAAAGAATGGTGGAATAAAAATCTTAGGCTCAACGTATAAGAATTGTAAATAGAGGGAACTTACACTAACTGCTTATAGAAACTAAAAAACCCAATGCTTACTTTAGAATTTTTTTTCTAAGTTTTCAATAATTTTAAATGAGTATCTTTGTGCATAATTTTTGATTGATCTGCAACATTTTATGAATGCACCAGATAAAAAATGGTTCTTACTACCACTGTGAACCTGTATATGCAGTGTTCACTATCTTATTACTAAAAAAGTAGCAGATAAATGTAATTGTCATCTTTAATAGGGACTTTGTAGTACCGTAGCTGACTTTTTTTATTGTAGGGAGATCATCTATAACCAAAGGGAACACAGGTAAAGGTTTAAGTGACTCTTCAATGATGCGCAAAATAACACCTGCAAAATTCACTGATCCACCCCCAGCAAGTGCACCAGGTAGTGTGACAAAATCTACACAGAAGAGGAGCCTTCAGCGAAGAGAAGGGAAGAGGGAACCTCCCCCCAGTGTAGTTCCACCTCAGACAACCACACGAAAGACAGACCCCCTACACCCAGAACCATTACCTATTCAAGGGAATCTTAAAAACGGACACTCTGTATCTGTAAGTTTTGGTCAACATACTGATTTTAAAGGGTTGTATTTCACATTTCAGTCTATATCTTCACAGTTTTGATATTTTTAATCAAATTCTATTTGAAGATAATCTCGTTCTAATACTTGATATCTCGATTACCTAACTTAGAGCAGAACTCTCTTGCAGTGAAGGTAGGAAATGTCTGATAGATCAGAGCAATGTGCCATTGAATACAATGCAGGATCGATTATTGTGGAATTTATGAGGACAGTTGAAAAAGAAATCCTGGTGAAATGTCTTGCTAAACATTCGCTGAACTAGCCTAATAAATCTTTGAAAGGAACTATTCCTCATTTATTACATTTTTTTGTTACTTCGTACGAAGCAGACTTTCCTCATTAAATTTTCATTGAAAATCGTTACTTTTGAAAACTGGTAAAATACTCTATCAACTTTCCTAATTTGACAATCTACTATTTGGAGTTCAACCCTTGGCAATATATTGTACTTTCGGCAAACTGATTGTTTGAATCATTTGATTTTCACTACTGTAAACACTGTTATGCCTGATAAATCTTGTGAGATTTAGAGCTTCCTTAACTCCCCCACAAAAGAGCAGTTGTAAGTTAGATAACTGCAAGTTACTTGCAATACAACTTATTGAATACTACTTCAGAGCAAATATTATTCATAATACACCTGATAAAATTACAGTGATGTTTGCTTTTTTTACAATAGAGTTGAGGTCTTTTGATTTCATGTATAGTACATTCTATAATTATGTACTGTAAATTCCTTATTTTTCACGAGTACTTATAATCGCGAAATGGCTCTTTGACGTCAAATTACGAGTCAGAATAATTATTCGCGAATGGATGGTTGGTCAAGAGAATTTATATGAATCTTAGCACCATAAAAATAAAAGCGAGCAATTTTAGTTTGCAAGTGATGCTTCTTGCGAAATTACACGATAATTATACTGACATGCAAAAGAAACGCAACACCCTACTTTAGGAGGAAATAATTATGTAAAGTAAAGAATTTTGTATCTTAAAATTATGAATATCTTCAATTTGGTAAACATTGGTAATTTAACGATTATACGCTTTCCATACCATAACCGGAAGACCAGTTTGAGTCTGCTTAACAGAAATCAAAAATTGCATGTTTAACAAAAATCTGGCAATATTATGGAGTTTGAAGGTTTTTTTTACTGTTCATCATAAGTAATGCAGCAATATTTCAAAAAATAAACTCTCCTTTCGTTTCCCGTAACGATGCTGAGGCTACTTCAAAATGGCTTATGTACACATTTCCAGTGCTTTAAATGGAAAATTTCAATGTAAAGGTGATGGAGAGTTGCTGATGCGGAATTTCACTACATTACGCCTCAACAGGGTCTTTCGTATCATATGCATTAAGGACAGTCCTTGTACCGGAAGTCAAAGGGTGGCTACACTGCTCTAAGTTAGAGAAAATTCGACCTAATCATCTGAAAAATTGGCATTTAAAAATGCCAAAGAATAATTCCTTCGCTCAGATCTCGATATTAATGAGCCTATTGTATCGTAGAAATTAAGCTGCAATTGTTGTTTAGGGCAGTCTTGCAAATTTTACTTGAATGGCTGGGAGGGGGGTGTTTTAACAGTCATATTTTACTTAGTAAAATAAACAGATAAACATTTAACATTTCTATCAAATCTCTGATGTTCTGAAAAGTGAGTTTAGCCTTACTTTATTCGCTTTTGAAAATCATAGGATAAAAAAATCAAATATTGTAGATTACTGCTTGTTGCGTTTCTTTTGCGTGTCAGTATAATTCCTCGCGTATAATTAGGAATCTACAGTACCTACTGAAATTGGGGTTCATAATTTAGCATCATCTTTTGTGCCACATACTCCAGTTCATGAATAAGTATATACACAGTAATTTATCCTCTGGTATGGTATCCAAAAATACCAATTTAATAGTTATCTCTCTACTTTCAGTTTGGAATCAATGTAGACAATGACCAAGAGGAAGGGCTATACAATCTCTACTTTCACAATTGCTTTCAGTATGAAAAAGGGGTCCATGCAACATTTGAAATGCAGGTATGAGCAGTGTAATATCCACTCAGTAGTGAATCAGGAGTCCAGTATCTTTGCTTCCCTTTTAGATATTTGTACATCCATAGAAAAATGAATACATGTTAAAAGATGAAGCATAAAATCTATCAATCTGAAACAGATAAAATTTGATCCATCTTTCTGAAAAACATTGTAATATCTTGTAATCAACTTAATTATTTGTTTAGTCGAGTGCAAAGTTTCCTAGTCATTAACTTTTTAGGATTTTATAATTGCTTAAGCTTAAACATTTCATTTGGTTAATTGTCCTCAACATGATGTAGGAAAGAAAAATTACGATTGGCAGTTGTATAATAAAAATCAGTCTGTAGTTTCTATGAATTCAGTGTTCATTACCTTAAGGAATGTATATTTTTTCCCTTCAGGTTGATATAGAAGAGATAAATGACGGGAACTACTTGTCGGCGGGGGAGATTCCTATCCCCGCCCTCTTCTTCACCCTCTCCGTCCTGTTCTTCATCGCTGGCATTGTGTGGATGGTGATTCTACGCCGCGTTAAGTAAGAGATTCTAATCTATCTTAAAAACTTTAAATTTAGGGAATTACTATCTTGTAGTTTGGTATTTGCGACCGTTAATGCTGATTTAACGGTCGCAATCGTAGTTTTACCAGCAACGCATTTAAGTGGAGCCAGTAAAACGGATGTTTGCGACCGTTAAATCAGCATTCCAAATTACAAGATAGTTATTCCCATTCTAATGCAAACTATGCCTTCTGTTTGTTGTTTACATCTTATTTTATTGAGTTTTGTGATATGAAATACGTCACGGAGCATTGTGTTTTTGCGTCGCTCTATTATGACGTCACAATGAAAAGCTTTCACGCTCGTTAATATGCTCGTTTTACTGCTTTAAACATCAGTGTATTAGCCAATCAAAATGTGTTTTATAACATTATGTTTTATAAACATAACAGTAGATGGCCACCAATTAATCATTAACTTTAGGCCATGATAGAGTTTTTGAGAAAAAGATGAAGTTTTACATGATTGGAATCAATGGTAAAATTTCAAGCTCAGTGTATTAATGAATAAAAGAAAAAGAAATGGTAAAATAATGACAGGAACTTTGATAAGTGGCAGCTGTAATAGTTGTGAGTTGGGAATGAACCTATGTACATAATTTAACTGCTTTAATAATTTGTAAGGATCTTACAAATACATGTAGAACAACATTTACAGCACAGGTTAATTTTAACTAGTATATTTCATGTTAACTTTGTTAGTTTTACTGACCAAGGAATCTTTAGGGCAAAGGCTGTATGCTGCACAGTATTATAAACACTTCATAATATATTCATATTTTCCTGCAGAATTGAGTCACTGTTGTTTACTTGTAGGGAGGATGTATACACAATGCATTATTTAATGTTTGCGGTGGTGATGGTGAAGGCACTATCAAATCTCTTTAATGCTGTAAGTATATAAATGATTAAATGTAGTACTACATATATTTCAACAGATTGAAATAAAATATACAGTCATGTAGCTGATCATATGAGCATTGTAGTACTAATCACTCTTTTTGTAGGTGAACATGCACTTTATTGCAGTAGAAGGCATGCACGAGGAAGCCTGGGCAGTATTGTACTACATTGTATATCTGTAAGACCGACTTATTTTCCATTATTCATCCTTAAAAACAACTGAGAAATATATTTAGTGTGAAAAGGAAAGATCCCAGAAACTAAATTACAGGTAAACTTCGGTATCTCGACATCGGATATGTCGACAACCTGGGATATGTCGACGTCCGTCCGCGGTCCCGGCATTATTTACTATATAAATGATTTGCAAAAACTCTGATATGTCGACCTCGGTAATGTCGACTACCCCGCTTATCTCGACGTATTTCACAGTCCCAAGAGCAAAATTTACCTGGTATATGTCCAGAGCTGCCAACCCTTACGATTTTGGCGTAAGGCGTACGAAATCAGCGTCTAAAATACGCCTTACGATTTCTCTCTATATTCTTCCGATTGCAGTTTTTTTCGTTCAAAGTTTATAATACCCGTATTTTCATAGCTGACAGACTACATATTTTCTACTATTATAATATATTCATAATTCTTACAACGCTTGCTTGTATCAACGTTTCGGTTTCAGAAGGCCGATCACATTCATGTCAATGTTTTAAAGTAAACAAAATAAAACATGCCTCAGACTGCATGTTCATTTACAAAACATCTTCAGCGGCAGAGGGCCTAGGTGGTCCGTAGACCCCACCTTACTATTTGTCATTTCAGAATGTTGGCAGCTCTGTATGTCGACATCGGGGCAATTTTCTGCTCTACTTAACCTAATTGTTTGTCAGCTGGTCGCTCGTCGCGCACGGGCGACTCCGTGTATCTCGACGTCGCAAGAAATTCACACCTTTCACACCCATGTTTTGACTACATACTGCTCTGTAAAAATGTGTTTGTAGAGGAATCCCAAGCCCCCTAGGCGTCTCTAATACGTTAATTGTTTAATGTTTAGCTTGGGTAATATCATTGATAAATCTCGATTCTGCGTAAAAGTAAAATCGTTTATTTATGTCGAAATCTAACAAAACTTAAACATTTTATATAAAAAAGGAACTAAATAACAATTAACAATATACACATTGAATTCAATTTAACTTAAAAACTGTGGTATAAATGCATTCAACAGGAATCAATCAAATCTACGACATGAACGACTATTGCATCACAGTCGTAATATGGATGCATATGTAACATCATTAAGTTTGTTAAATGCGCAATTCCAATTAAATTTAGGTTTGAAAATGAAATGAAAATTAATGATGAATGATTATGAAATAAAAAAGAAGTGAAATGAAATTATTTTAAAAAATATACGCATTCATTTTTTTTTTCGTATCTCGGAAGTCAACTTTGTATCGTCCCGGTTTAGAGTTTATAGAGCGCATTTCGTATCCTGTTCTGACAGAGCTAGTGGCACGCGGATCGAATGCTGGATGGAAAACGGTTTTTATAAAAAGAGATAAAAAAGAAAGCATTTCATAAAAACATTCGTGAAAAACATTAGATTTTTTAAATAAATATAGGGGGATAGCTGAAACAAATGAGCTACAGTCTAATTGAAGACATGTAGGTACCTGTAGTTATACATCTGTTCAGTTTAGGTCTCTGGTTTTACTATGCAGTAAAATTAAGGACGTCGAGTCTCAACTCTGATATCTCGACACCTCGGATATCTCGACATTTTCCGACTGTCCCGTCGATGTCGAGATAACGAAGTGTACCTGTACCTTCGTTATTTAAGTTTATGAACATATATGTCAAGAATTGTTTTTCATTTTTACTTTGAACTAGCTGATAATCTGAATATAATTTATATATCGGGGTAAATTAAACTAAGTACAAGGGAAAATATTGAACATATATCACCCCTGCATTCTCCTGCCTTTATATCCTAATTGACTTTAACAATTCATTATAGTTACATTTTGGAAGAAGCCCCTGCTCATTTATTCTGTAACTTCTGTGGGTGAAAAAGCCCCCCTCCCCACCCACCCACCCCCACATTGATTCTGTAACTGATGTGGGTGAAAAAATTAAGCCACCCTCCCCACCTACCCACCCCCACATTGATTCTGTATCTAATGTGGGTGAATAACAATTTGTTATTATCCACATCTACATTTGGGTTGTTAACTATTTTGTTTTAATCTTCAGATCTCGAGGAGCTTTATTGTTTGTGACAATTTTACTGATTGGAACAGGATGGACTTTTGTAAAACACGTCTTTTCAGACAAAGAAAAGAAACTTTTTCTGATTGTTATCCCTCTACAGGTAGGGTGAATTCAGTTTTAAATTATCTGAGACAATTAAATTTGAAATGAGCTTTTCTGCTAACAATTTTACAATGTGCAAGATCTTATGTATTAGTAGTGCAATACCGTATAAGTGGAAATTTTAGCGAGACGCAAATTTAGCGATTTCTACCTAAAATCTGGTATTTTATTTTTTAGCGAGAAGTAATTTTTAACAATTTTAAAATGCTAACTAAAGAAGCTATTTCAAATAAAATGTAATTAATTTTTAGCAATGTCGGCACCCTCGCTAATAATGCCAAAATTCATATCCTCACTAAAAAAAAACTACTTATACGGTAACTTTAAGTCATATTTTTTTTAATCAACATTTTAAATTTCCTCGCTGAAAATGTGTTTCACATTAATTAAGCCATTTTAAAGTGTCTTAAGGTATTAAAAGGAAAAATAAGAATAATAAATTCTACTATCCCTAACCCCCTAAGATTGAAAGCTTGGGCCGATGTTCTAAAGTTGATGTATACTTCAGCTATCTTATGTGATTTGTTTCTTTATCATTAACATTTATGTCCTAACCACTAACAAGTCAATCTGAGACATTTTTGTTCTAGATTTTGGACAACATTGCGTACATTATTATTGAGGAGAGTGAGGAGGGCCAGTCGGAGTACGCTATATGGCAGGAGATTTTTATTCTGGTAGATCTACTCTGCTGTGGAGCAATTCTCTTCCCTGTTGTATGGTAAGTATTTACATAAAAAAATCTTCAAGGCCATTTCATATTTCTGTCTCTATTCTATATTCCCCATTTTCAAAAGGTGAGTTATTTCCCCTGAAGGGAACTCTTTTACTGTATTTAATGCGCTATAAATAAAGTCACTTCCGCGGACGTTCTTGATGTAAACATGTTCATGGTGTAATGCCTCAGTCTGTCATATGGAATTATTGTGTTTGTGAATAAAAAGAAATCTTAACTGATTCGTATTTTTTTTAATTGCCCACTCATAGTCTCTTTCTGGATTTGTATTAATCTGTATAGTACTATAATAAGGTGCTGTGTGACCCCCCCCCCCCTTACAAAAAAAAAAAAAAACAACAAAAAAACGAAACAAATTACTGATAAAATGCTGTTACATATTCGAATAGGCCTATTAAAATAAAAAACAAAAGCTAATTTTCGGTAGTGGATGTTCTGCAGACGGATCATCATTATTTACAAAATGTGCGAAACAAATTTTTAGTTATAAAGTTTTTACGAATTAATCTAGCCTGCTGCAGCCATATTTTCTTTGTATCTTTAGGAATTTTTTGGAGACTGACGACATGTCCATCTACAGTTTTACCTCTGAAATTGCTGCATATACAGTAGTAGTTCGTCTTCCGCGACCGATTCCAAGAAACTGCGTTTTTGCTCGATAGTATGTCATAACATAGAACTTTTACTTACAAGAACACATTTGGTGACAATTAAAGGCCTATTTCATTTGAATTAACCGTGTTTCAAGAATTTTTTATATGTAAAATACTTGATTCACTGTATAGTATTAAAACTTTGAATGGAATTCTAAATGAACAATTTAATCTCATGTGCTCATGTAACGAAGAAAGACTAATTAAAATAGCATCGACCTGAATTCGTGTTACATATGTCGTATAAAGTCAGAGCTGCATTTAATCAAAGTTTTAGTGTAGGATCTAAGCATATGTACATGTATATTCCCGAGTAAAATACACATTTTGTTTTAGATCAGAGAATTGAGAGCAGAAACACGAAATTGATACAATAATTTCCTAGCGTATTTCTCGTTAATTAACGGAAAACATTCTTTTCACAGTGTTATTTATTTATTTTTTTAACTCGTTCAGTGTAAGTACATGTATTTGTTTTTATAAGTTATTCTTTTTTGCGAAGTGTGTAAAAACAATATCAGAGAGAGAGAGAGAGAGAGAGACTCAAGTAACCCTGTGTAACTGACATACATGTACATCTGTGAAAAAATATATGTACCGTAATTTTATTGAATTCACAATTAATAATTCTAATAATTTTTAATTTTCACAACTATGGTTCATATTCAACTGTTCAACCCATTTACATATACGTTCTCTGTACCTTACGAACTGGGGGGGGGGGGGGGGGGGTCACGGGGCTTAGCCCCACCCCCACTTTTTTCCCAGTATTACTTTTTCTATTGAAAATGTTCATTGATAGACAGGTTGCCACCCCCACCCCCCCCCTCCCACACACACAGTTTATACTACGGTAAAGTTATATAAGGGAAATGTAGTATTGTATGCCAAGGAACTGGTACTGAAATAAGTAGCTTTTTCAACTTTGGGCAAGGTTTTTCTTTGCTTGTCAACTTTTCCAGGTAAGAAAAAAATATTTCTTTGGCTACACCCCCCCCACCACCACTTTTAAAGACGATGCTACGTGCCTGGCTAATTCGTATAGCTTTCTAGAAAGGGAGGGGGCTAACAGACCCTTTCTGAAATAATTTATTATCTAACAAAAAAGGCTGTTTCCTTCTTTTAAAATTTTTAAATACAGCGTGTAAGTTGATCACTATTTTGTTGGATTATCGTATTGCGTAGTCCGCGGAAGTTATCCTAGTGTAGAAGAGTTCCGATTTTGAGGGGAGATAACTCACTTTTGAAAATGGGGAATACATGTATAGTAAATGAGGCCAGTCTTCAAGTACTTTGGAATTTCTTTTTTTTTGCCCTCTATTTCTCTTCTTTGTTATTATTTTGAAAAATTGAAAAATTTAAGATATCTTTGTCGGAATAACTAAATAAAGGGTTGCAAACAATAATGACATTTTCCTAATCAACATTGATTGTATAAGTTGGTTTTTTTGTATTTCTTCTTTGCCAGCATCTCATTGGTTACTGGGCTGACATTGAAAACGGAGACATTATCCTTTTAAATGTCATCATGTAACATTTTTAGCTCACCTGAGCCGAAGGCTCAAGTGAGCTTTTCTGATCACATTTTGTCCGGCGTCCGTCTGTCTGTCCGTCTGTCTGTAAACTTTTCACATTTTCGACTTCTTCTCAAGAACCACTGGGCCAATTTCAACCAAACTTGCCACAACGTATCCTTGGGTGAAGGGGATTCAAGTTTGTTCAAATGAAGGGCCATGCCCTCATTCAAGGGGAGATAATTGGGAATTAATGAAAATTTGGTAGCATGTTTTAAAAATCTTCTTCTCAAGAACCACTGTCCAAGGAAAGATGAAACTTATGGGGAAACATCCTCAGGTAGTGTAGATTTAAGTTTGTTCAAATCATGACCCCGGGGGGTAGGGCGGGGCCAAATTGGTTGACAAATGTTTTACTTTGAAATATATAGGAAATTTCTTTAAAAATGTTCTCCTCAAGAACAACAAAGCCATAATTGATCATATTTATATGGAAGCATCCTCAGGTAGTGTAGATTCAAGTTTGTTCAAATCATGACCCCCAGGGGTAGGGCGGGGCCAAAATGGCCGACCAAAGTTTTACATAGAATTATATAGGAAATTTCTTTAAAAATCTTCTTCTCAAGAATAGCAAAGCCATAATTGATCATATTTAAATGGAAGCATCATCAGGTAGTGTAGATTCAAGTTTATTCAAATCATGACCCCAAGGGGTAGGGCGGGGCCAAAATGGCCGACCAAAGTTTTACATAGAAATATATAGGAAAATTCTTTAAAAATCTTCTCCTCAAGAATAACAAAGCCATAATTGATCATATTTATATGGAAGCATCCTCAGGTAGTGTAGAATCAAGTTTGTTCAAATCATGACCCCCAGGGGTAGGGCGGGGCCAAAATGGCCGACCAAAGTTTTACATAGAAATGTATAGGAAAATTCTTTAAAAATCTTCTTCTCAAGAATAGCAAAGCCATGATTGGTCATGGGACTACTTTTGGATTTAAGCTTTTCGAGTATAAACCAATTCTGCTTTTTCCTAGCCACAGTGCTCAGGTGAGCGATGTGGCCCATGGGCCTCTTGTTTATATAAACCATATTTTATTAATATCGTCTAGACAGTTGAGCTGCATGAAATCATTACTATACCCCTTAAATTAATTTGTTTAAAGTTGATGAGCTGTCTAGACAGTATTTTCTTGTGTACTTAAAACTTGACAGATTGCTATTTAAAATTTACAAATAATGTTGTGGGGTCACAATTGACAATCAAAGTTTAACATAGAAGTATATAGGGAAAATCTTCAAAAATCTTCTTCTAAAAAACAGCAAAGCAATGAATGGTCATATTTATTTGGAAGCATCCTCAGGTGGTGTAGATTCAATGAAAATTCAAACTTGTAGTAAAAAAAAAGTCACAGTCTAAGCGTCCTTTTGGCTTAGTTAGTGTAGATCCAGTTTTGTTCAAATTATCCCCCCCCCCCACCACACTGCCTTTTGGGGGTAGGTTTGGACCATTAAATGCATGATTTTTAGCTCTACTGGTCAGAGACCAGAAGAGCTTATGCGATAGTAATGCGTCCGTCGTCCGTCCGTCTGTCTGTCTGTCCGTCTGTAAACAATTTTTCAAAATGCTACTCCTCCTACAGTTTTGGTCTGATTTCAATATAACTTGGCACACAAGTAGACTACACTAAGATACATAATTCTGTATATCGGTCTTTGATTTGGATGAACGGTGTTGCCGTGGTTACTAAAAATAGAAATTTCTGTGAAATTGTTTCAAAATGGTACTCCTCCTACAGTTTTGGTCTGATTTCAATTTAACTTGGCACACAAGTAGACTACACTAAGATACATAATTCTGTATATCGGTTTTTGATTTGGATGAACGGTGTTGCCGTGGTTACTAAAAATAGAAATTTCTGTGAAATTCTTCCAAAATGCTACTCCTCCTACAGTTTTGGTCTGATTTCAATATAACTTGGCACACAAGTAGACTACACTAAGATACATAATTCTGTGTATCGGTTTTTGATTTGGATGAACGGTGTTGCCGTGGTTACTAAAAATAGAAATTTCTGTGAAATTCTTTCAAAATGACTCCTCCTACAGTTTTGGTCTGATTTCAATATAACTTGACAAACAAGTAGAACACACTAAGGTACATAAATCTATTTATCAGTTTTTGGTTTCGATGAACTGTGTTGACGTGCTTCTAAAAATAGAAATTTCCGTGAAATTCTTTCAAAATGCTACTCCTCCTACAGTTTTGGTCTGATTTCAATGTAACTTGGCACACAAGTAGACTACACTAAGATACATAATTCTGTATATCGGTTTTTGATTTGGAAGAACGGTGTTGTCGTGGTTACTAAAAATAGAAATTTCATTAAAATGGTTTCAAAATGCTACTCCTCCTACAGTTTTGGTCTGATTTCAATGTAACTTGGCACACAAGTAGACTACACTAAGATACATAACTCTGTATATCGGTTTTTGATTTGGATGAACGGTGTTGCCGTGGTTACTAAAAATACAAATTTCTGTGAAATTCTTTCAAAATGCTACTCCTCCTACAGTTTTGGTCTGATTTCAATTTAACTTGGCACACAGGTGGACTACACTAAGATACATAATTTTGTGTATCGGTTTTTGATTTGGATGAACGGTGTTGCCGTGGTTACTAAAAATAGAAATTTCTGTGAAATTCTTTCAAAATGCTACTCCTCCTACAGTTTTGGTCTGATTTCAATATAACTTGGCACACAAGTAGACTACACTAAGATACATAATTCTGTATATCGGTTTTTGATTTGGATGAACG